AAAGACCATGTTGCCCTACAGTCCCCAGTGGCCAGGCCCAGATATGAGGCCTCTAGCTGCAGAGCTGACCTGTCCAAAGCCTTCCTCAATGCCCAAGGAATACCAAATATCCCAGTGAGGCCTCCCATCCTGGTTAGGATGCAGCCAGGTGCACAGAAGGCAGGCAGTACCTGTGCTAAGAGAAGACGTACACTCTTCTAACAGATTTTTGTTGCTATGTGCCATTGAGCAGACTACAACTCATAGTGACCTTATGAACAACAGATCTGTACCCTGCCCTTGCCTGTGCCATCCTTGTCATCTAGTCCTCACAAAATCTCAGTGAAATGCCAACTGGGGATTCAATGCTGCCAATGGAAAACAGAGTGGGGAGGGGACTGCAGACAGCATCACGTCACACAGTCAGCTTTTCAGCACAAAATTAGAGTAGGAGGAGCTAGCTAATGGGTCCCTCCTCTCTTTCTGGGCCAGCCTGTCTCCTTCCTACAAAAGGGGTTAATGAGACAGAGGGGACAGGGGGCAAGCCAGCCAAGTCCACTGGATTGTGTCATTAGCTCCTCCTGCAAATCAAACCTGGGCCTCAATTTCTCCATCTGTTAGCTCAGAAGAGAACTTTCTGCTGGTTTCCTCCACAGTGGACTCGCTGCAAGGAACGTCAGCCCCTCCCTTGAGTTTCCCTCCCCTGGCACTGCCAGCCACGCGCATAGGGCAGGCCACAGGCCTGGTGCCAGCTAGCAGAGACCTCTTGGAATTTCTGGGATTCTTCCTGCCTGAAGGCTGCCTAAGACAGGGCAGCTGCAGGTTGGGGCCCTGCCTCTTGGCCTGCTGCATCCTCACTCGCCAAACTTGGCTGGGGCCTTTGCTTCCCTCCTGGGACCCCCTGGGGAAAGCCTGGTGGATGCCATTTAGATGCATCAGCCTGGTAGAGCTCCAGGGCAGGGACTCTGGCAAATGTCCATTGTGTCCTGGTGCCAGCTCATGTCTGGCCCTAAATCCATGGCAGTGACTTCAGTCCCACCCCCACCTTATGGCCCTGGGGATGCTTTTCTTTGGACTGAAAAAGACCTGGTTGGCTCAGTGCCCTAAACTATCCAAATCTGCCCCTTTTGTGCCATCCAACCCACAGAAAATGTCTAGGGGCATCACAGAAATCTGCTGCCACTTCTAACACTTTGTCACCAAGGCAACATGTGGCTCTGGACTGACCTGTCCAAATTTAAATATTTCCCCATCACTTCCTAGCTGTGTGACATGGGCCCTGTTACTTAGCTCTCTGGACTCCAATGTCTTTGTCTATAAACAGCGACAACAGGATCAGCTCACCAGGTGGCTGAGAAGACTCAGGGAGTCACACATTTGAGGCGCTCAGCAACTCCCTGGCATACAGCAAGTACACAATCAAAAGTGGCTCAAACTGTAACAACAAAGCATCTTTCTTCTCAATTCTGCTATTTACCAGTTGGGTGACCTTTGGTATGTGGCTTCGCCTCTCTCTAGCCTCGGTGCCTTTCCAGAAGGCTGAAAGGATTAACAGAAATACCATTTTCAAACCCCACAGCACAGTCCCTGGCATGTAGTATGGGCACTTAAGGCATGGTAGCTACTAGGATTACTGTTTGTAAGGAGGTCTTAGAAAGATGAGGCTGACAAACAACGAATGCACCACCTGTTTTACCTGCTCAAATGGGGTCAGGTCAGAGCTATATATGTCTTTGTCATGAAACTGACAGAGAAACCACCAACACTCAAAGGAGGTGGAAGGACTGAGATCTGCCTTCCTCTGACATCACCATGTCTCTGCCATCTTGGAGATGCTTGGGTTGAGGGCAGAATGTTAATGATCTGCCTCTCACCCTAACCCCAACTCAGATGCAATAGGGCACTGGCTATGTGGAGAAATGGGCTCTGAGGCAGTGTTCCTAGGCAACAGGTGAGGACTGGGTATGGGAAAGGGGAGGTAAAAACCCAAAAACTCTCTTCTGGCCTAGGTCCCAGACCCTGGGAAAGTCAAACCAGCTTCAGGCTCCAGGAACACCTGTCTGGCAGTGAACAGGTACCCAGCACCCACTAAGGGTTCAGCACTGAGTCTCAACTCTTCCCTATTCAGCCTTACTCAGGGCCAGAAGAAGTTGTCTGGGCTCAGCCAGGTTCGAGGAATCTACATCTCCTTGCCAACAAAGAAAGGGAGGCAGAGGTGAAATCTTGAACCTTATGGGCCGAAATCTAGATCTTTCCTGATTTTCCCAGATGGAGTACATTTCAGACAGTCTAACTGGTAAGGGAACAGAGGCTCCAGGGCCTGGAAGGCCTGGGTTTGCTATCAAGTTCTTGGAGATATCCAAGACCCTGTCTCCCAACATACATGCTGATCCCCTAAAGAAATCTACCTGGTACCTCTAAGACATGCAGAGGACGGGGACCTGCAACCTATAACCACAAATGCTGCAGCACTTTGCCTGGACCACACATGGTACATAAAATATCCATTCCCACTCACAACCCTAAGGGTGGGTATGACATCCTCATTTTACAGGAAGGAAACAGACTCAAGGCAAAACAGGGCAATGGTTAAAGCACACTATGAGTTTGAAGCTAGGAGCCAATATACCAACTTAGGCAAGTCTCTCCCTCTCGGTACCTCAGGGTCCATCTCCAGGAAGATAATCATTCTGCACACCCTCTACCATTTCAACACAGCATAGTCAAGGGGTTAAGTGAGACGTGCTAGTCAAAAGGGGAACATGTTATGTGCAGCACAGTAAGAACCTATTCATAGTTAACTCTGGTGGGTTTGCAGAGGCTACAAACTGCAATGGAGATTGCCCATCTTTCCCTCGTAGCCGGTGGGCTTGAACTGCATACCTTTTAAGTTGGCAGTCAAAGTCCCTAACACTAGACCACCTGAGTTCCCAAACGGGGAGCTTGTTGTTGTTTTTATCTACCACTGAGTCAGAATTGACCCATAACTGACCCTCCAGTGGGTTTTTAGAGGCAGTAAATAAATAACGGGAGGAGACTGCTCATCTTTCTCCTGCAGAGCAGCTGGTAGATTTTACTTTAGTCCATAATGTTTAAGATTTCACCTCGGCCCTTCTTTCTTGGCAAGGAGAGGCAGATTCCTTGAACTGCCTGAGCCCATACAACCTCTCCTGGCCCTGAGAAAGACTGAGGAGGGAAGAGTTGAGATTCAATGCTGGAACCTTAGAGGGTGCTGGGTATCTAATCTAACCATGTGCCTTTGGGATGGCAACTTAGCTCCTTACTTCTAGGCCTCCAGAGCTCAATAGAGAGCATGTTGTTGTTTACCACTGAGTCGGAACCGACCCACAGCTGACCCTCCGGTGGGTTTTCAGAAGCAGTTAATAGCGCAAGTGGAGACTGCTCATCTTTCTCCCCTGGAGCGGCTGGTAGCTTCTTGCCACTAGGCCACCAGGAGCCTTGTTGTTGTATGTGCCGTTGAGTTGCCTGCGACTCATAGCCCTAAACCCTGCTCTATCCTGTGCCAATCTCACTGTCTCCAACACACGTACTCCCTTTACCCCAGTCACTGAATCAATCCACCTCATAGCACCCAGAAATAACTCTTAAAATCCGAAAGGCTAGGTAATCACCCAAGGTGAATAGCAGCTGTGGGCACAGCCTGTAGAAATCTGGAGCCCCTATGTGGGTGGCCACAGATTGCTTCCCAGGCAACGGAGAACAGATCAGCCCCCTTGCAGAGAAAGGCAGCCTTTCTGAATTCCTCAGATAAGCAGCTCCCAGCTCAGTGGAGAGCCTCCAGGCCACAGGGCCAGAGCACAGAGAAAAAGTGACCCACCCAGCCCGCATCAGAGATTCCTAGATTTGAGTTAGGTCACATGCTTAACTCCCTTCCTCCAGCAGTGAATTCAACCTCCAGATTCATCTAACAGGTCCTCAAACAGGTCAGTTAAGCTGTCAACTCCCATCTGCAAGGTCCCAGGCAAGCCACTTCGTCCCTCTGGACCTTAGTGTGCCCTCAGCCTTCAACAGAGAGGCAGCTGTGACTAACTGAACCCACAAGGAAGCCTGAAGGAGCAGACACACACTGGGCAAGGGAGTCAATGTGTCCCCAAAACTGGGCCAAGTCCTGAATTGCATTCCCTTCTACTGAACCTTCATCGCTCTGTGAGGAAGGGCTTGAACTAGGTCACTTTCTAGAACAGTAAACTAAGGCCCAGAGGTGCCAGAGCCAAGATCTGAACTCTGAACTGATTCCAAGGCTCTCTTCAGAGCAAGCCAAAGGTATGTGACCTTGGGGTAGGAGGGGTCCCGCCATAGTACCACGGTTCTGGCATAGTACCACAGGAACTCTGTCACCTTCAGCAGTAAGCTGGGCAGCTGAACCTGTCTGCATGGAGAGGAACATAAAACTCAACTTGGCAGAAGCCTCTTTCAGAGCACATAGCAGCCTCTTCCACAAACAAGGGCATTTGCAATGCAAAGCAGCCCAGTTCTAGCCAGAAAGACAAGAGTCACTCAGAGGGGTGTGAGAAGGCCAAAATCCAGCCATCTCCCTCTAGCCTCTGAGTAGTGTCTGGGAACCTGTGGCTGGCTGGCAAAGACGCTAAATCATATGACAGCTCAAAAGGCCAGCTGTAGTGCAAAGGAAGGGGTGTTCCTCCAGGTTACCTACCACTCTTTCAGTGCATAAACCCTTAAGTTCAAGGGCTCATCAGACAACTGCACACTAGGTCTAGTAAGGGCTGCAAGCAGGGCCCCCAAGTCAGGGCAGGAAGAGAATAGCTCCAGATATCAAGCAGTCACCTGCAGCCTGGCACCCTGTCAATTTCCGCGGCCTAAGACTCCCAATCAACTGTTTCCAGGCTGTGCAACACCCTTCATACCCCCCACACACACACACACACTCTCCCCTGGATTCTCCCTGCCTCGAAAGGAGTACTTTCACTGGTGCCAATTGGCTGTGTCTTGCTCATCACTCCCCTTCCCCGCGGGCTTCCCTGACCGTTCTCAATTCGTACCTTGACGACAAGCTGACAAAATCCCCGCCATCCAGCAGCCGGACTTTGCAAAAGAGGACCCCGTTCACGAAGGGGACCGCCGTCAGCTCCTCCAAAGTAAAGGTGGTTTGGAATTTGAATTTCTTCTTCTTCATCAAGAAAGCCATGGGCAACTTCCCTGAGTCTGAGCCCGCGAAGTCCAAGAAAAAAAAAGGGGAGCAGAAATCCCCAGGATTCCTTTTCCAAACACCACAACACCCCTCCTCAAAACACCAGAAATGGATCCTACCCAGAAGGTGGTGTAGACTGCTGAATGCGCAGGAGTCGAAGTGTCCAGTCCAGCTCACGGGTGGGCTGACTTCACCCTCGGGGGGCTGCAACTTGGATGGGCTCGGAGCCGGGGGCTTCACCGGCATGTAAACAGAGGGGCAGAGCCCAGGCAGCAAAGACAGGGGGGACGAGCAGTGCTCGAGTGGCTGCGCTCGAGGGTAGCATCCCGAGCCACAGTCCCTGGGGTGCTCACACCGCGCGACCGGGCGCGGCGGGCGAACCGGTGAGACTGAAAGTGGCCGGCGGACCGGTGAGGCTGAGGGCAGAGGGCGGCCCCGCCCCCGCCCCGCTGGCGGCCGGGGGAGGCGCCCTCGCTGCGCACACGCCCCCGCACCTGGATGCCAGGCGGCCTGCGCAGGTAAGTCCACAGAGAGGCTAAAGGCACTCCCCCGAGGGCAGCCGGGAGCTTTGGGTGGATCTCTCCGGGAGACCTGTCGGGCGCGCTCTGGGCTGGGGTCTCAGATACAGCGTTCGCACTCAGGCCAGGGACGTCCGGCCGTCGACCTCCTCCGAGCAGGCACCGGGCCTGGCCACGGGCTGCCGGGACGCTGCCTTCTCCTCGGTCCTCGATCCCGTGCTGCGGGGCCCTGGCGGAGCTGAGGCACCCCTCCGGCCCAGCCGGTGGTGCCTGCTTCGCCCGCTGCCTCTACCCAGCACCCTGTAAGCAGCAGCCCGGCCGCCTGCGCTCCCGACGTCGCCGTCCCCGCCTGCTTGAGCCCGACGCAGCGCGGCGCCGCTGCGAGAATGCCGAGGCCTGAGCGGCCGCCTGCGGAACAGCCGCCGAGCACCAGAGGGGCGCCCACGATTGGGCGGCCTGGCGGGGCGGGTATGAAGCGGCGCCCCTGCCCATGATTGGCGGATGGTGGAATAAGGCGGGACGCGCGGGAGGCAGAGACTGCTAAGAACCCTTAGATTGGTTCGCTGCGTGGATGGGACCGCCTTTTTTGTTAGGGCGGGGCAGAGGGGAGAGGAGAGGGGCCCGGGGAAGGCAGTGGGAGGTCGCGGGGCGGGAAGCTGGGTCTAGCTGGGCTGGGCTGGGAGGAGAGCGCGAGAAGAAAAGAAGAAACAATAAAGAGAAACCATGTGAAAACCATCAGTAGGACGGTCTTCCAGTATTCTTCCAGAGTTGGGCTCGTTGAATACCAAATCAGGCCAGGAAGGAAGTGAATCCTGTTTCTCAGAAAACTGACATGCAGAGGGTTAACTGGGGCTAGACTCAGATATTAGACCTCCAAATCTCTACTTCTTAGTACTGAGAAGAAAAGGTTTCGCATGGGCGGTGACATGCAACCTTGTGTCCCAGCTCCTTTTGTCTCAAGCTGTTATCTAAGCCTTTCATTGCCGTTTAGTTTCTTTCTTACTTAGGGCTGGTCTCCTGGACTGGATTAACTGCTCTGGAGGCAGGGACCGCCTCACACCTCCTGGGCCCTTCACGAGGAAGGCCTTCCACATCCTGTAGTTCATTCATGCCGCCCCCAGCATTTAGGAGGTAATCTGCTCTGAGCCAGGCCCTGGGACATAGCATGAGCTCCGAAGGTTTGCCCTCTCCAAGCTCAAGAGCAGGCAGAAAAGCTTACTGTAAAGTGACCCGAACTACCCACAAGATGCCTGGGCAGGGTCTAGATGGAGAGTTGTATGTGCACAATTCTGGCAGCCAGAGAGAACCCAATGCCCACAGAACGTTTCCATGGCCAGATGCTGTCTTGTGATTTGAGAGAGAGGTTAGATATGAGACAAAGTCTGGCAGAGGCCATACCTCTCAGAGCAGTGGAGATCAGAGTAAAGGTTTCCCCAAAGGCATTGGGGACCACTTGCACATTTTGAGCAGGTCAGTGACATGTTACATTTGCTTTTCATTGTAAGCTGGTCTTGTGGTGAAGAGCTGGTAATCAGACAAGAGTGAAGTACCATTAATGGTTGTCCAGACAAAAGTTGTTGCTAGAACAACAGCACTGGGGGAAAATCAAGAGAAAGGGTCTGAGAAGCACCCAGGAGGCAAAACCAGAGAGTTTTGTAATGAGTTATTTCTGGACATCTAAGGACTTGGATTTCTCATTTCTTTCCATTTTTCCAGCCATAAAATGAGTGTCGATCTGTGCTTCTCCAGATTGTCCCATCATTTAGAAAACGGCCAGATGGGAGAAAAATGGTGATAGCAGCTCCCAGTGCTGCTCTTCATCCCATTGACAGGGATATTGATGGCTGGGGAGTTTAAATCACTTCAGTAAGGTCATGGCCCTGGAGTGAAGTTTCTAGAATGCTAAACTGTATGCCTACACTAAACCCTCCCAGAGCCCTCTACTTGGGGGAAGAATCTTTATCTGCCTCACCTCATTCCAAGAGAGGATTTCAAAGGAAGAAACCAGCCAAGGGCATCCTAGGCCTGACTAGCACCTGGGCTGTGACCATGAATAACCTTAGACCACTCCAACAGGAAGCAGAGTGGGACCAACTACCAGGCTTAACTCGGGTGGGGCGTTTATCTCCCTGAAGCCTTTGAGCTGGGAACCCCGGAAGTTTCCCTTCCCTGCTCAGAGAAGGGAAGAAGTGGTGCCACAGCAAGACTCTAGATTTGGAGTAGACAGGCCTGAGACAGAATTCTAGCTCTCCTGTGGGCAGCACAGCCTTGATTTGGGACACTGAGGCTTCTATGGGGGTGCCCTTCATTATGATACGGTTTGAGGCATCCGACCTGGAGCCAGTAGAGTTGATTTGAAGCCTGGCCAATTTACACCACTGACTGCCTGTCATGCAAACTTTTTTTCATCTCTAAAGCACAATTTCGTCTCCATGTAAAATGAGAATAACAATACTCATCTTTCCAGGGGAACGCTGTTGGTATAGTCCATTGGGTTGCACTGCTGACCCCAAAGTGGTGCTTCTCTAGTGGTTCACATCTGCCAGCAGCTCTAGGGATGAAAGATGGGGAGTCTCCTCCTGGGGAGTTCACATCCTCAGAAATCCAGTGGAGGGTCAGCTATGAATCAGGTCTGACTTGATTGTAATAAGAGAGAGGGAATCTTTTAAGAGTTGTGAGGGTTAAAAGGCTGTACTTGTGGAGAGCTCAAGTCTGGAGGCACACAGATCTGAGTGATGAGCAGGAAGTTGTCCCTCAGCATTTCCGCTTCCCCCGGTTATCCGAAATTCACGCCAGATCTGTCCTACCTCTCTAAGGCCCTGACAGACATAAGGAAACCAGTACTGAACAGATTTCCGACAAGTGGTGTAGATAGGGAAACTCGAGGAAATGATTGAGGCAGGCAGACATGAGGTAAGATAGATGCCAGGTCACATGGAGAGCCCCAAGGAACTGAGAACTTAGGTGAAAAGATGCAAGGGCTATCTCCCAGGTCAAATAGAGTGAAAGACTCTTCCCAAATCTAATACCCTGAATTCAGATTCTAACCTCCTGATCTGTGAGAAAATTTATTTCTTTTTGTTAAATCCATCTGCTTATAGGTATTTATGTTATGTTGTTATTGTTGTGTACCCTTGAGTCGGAACCGACCCATAACTGACCCTCCTATAGGTTTTCCGAGGCAGTTAATCACATGGGAGGAGATTGCCCATCCTTCTCCTGCAGAGCAGCTGGTGACCTCAAACTGTATGCCTTTGGCATTTCAGCAAAGCTTCTTGCCACTAGGCCACCAGAGCTCCCATTTCTGTTATAGCAAACTCAAACTTAGAGCTGTCAAGTTGAAATCGACTCATAATAGCCAACCTTCCAGCAGGTTTTGGGTAGCTATAAATTGTGAGGGAGGAGATTGCACATCTTTCTACCTCAGAGCCCCCCTGGATTTATGGACATGAACCACCAGAGAGATGCCACCTTTGTATAGCAGCACAATTCTCTATGGACGAGGCCACCAGAGCTCCTTTCTATCATAGCAGCACTAAGTAATTAAGGGGGAGCCCTAGTGGCCTGATGGGTAAGGAGTTGTGCTGCAAACCCAAAGGCAAGTGGTTCAAATCCACCAGCTGCTCTGAGGGAGAAAGATAGACAATCTGATCCCATTGATTTACAGTCTCTGAAGACCTTCTAGAGGGTCAATTATGAATTGGTTTCTCCTCAACAGCAGCAAAATGTTGTTGCTCTTGAGGTCATTAAGACAGTAAAAGAGAACAAATATTGCCTGTCCTGTGACTTCTTTAAGGGTTTTGATATGTTAAGTCCTTTGCAGAAGCTATTGTGTCAATTATTTCATGGAAACTTTCTCTCGTTTTGACTGATCTCTGCTTTACCAAATACGATCATTGATTCCAGTGCATGGTGACTCCAGGTAAGCTCATAGTAAAACTGCTCCACAGGATTTTTCAAGAGCTTTTTTATTTTTTGGGGTTGGGGGGAATAGTAGGTTAGTTAGTCTCCTTTGAGTGGACTCAAATTTCCAGCCTTTTAGTTAGTAACCAAACAAATTATACCACCCAAAACCTAAGACAAAACAAGAATCCTCAAAACCAAAAACCTGTTACCGTCAAGTTGATTTCAACACATAGCAACATTATGGGACAGCATCCAACTTCCCCAAAGTGTTTCCAAGGCTGTATACTCTTTGTGGACGCAGACTGCCCTACCTTTCTTTTGAGGAGCAGCTGGTGGATTTGACTGTCAATTTTAACTTAACCATTATGTTATCATGGTCCTTTTGTACCATAGAACAGAGTTCCTTAAGTATTTATTGACTAAAGGGACACTCCACCAATGGAATTCTTTGCTGCTTGTGAGAAGAATGAAAGAGAGATAGGTCTGTGGAGGTGGGAAATATCCACCCTCTGTCACAGAGAATGTTGTATCACAGAGAAATATGTCAAGGATGAACTTCTTCTTGTGAAGATA